AAACAACTATAAGTCAAATTCATTTGTCATCAAAAGAAAAACCTTTTTTGAGAATAATTTCAAGAAACTTTTACTACAAAGTAATTTTAATTTTAAAAAATCAAATAAAAAATAAAATTAATAAAATAGATGTCATTTGACTGATGATGTCCAAAGTATAAACCAAGAACCAAGATAATGTAAAATTATGGATCCCTAATAAAATCTATAAATTGACTTGTATTATCTAAAAATGTGTTTACCTTGATTATTAGTAACCTTCTCCTTACTAAAATATCCCAAATGTAAGTCCACAAACTTCTTTTAATGAAACTCAATTAATGAAAGGCAATTGACATCTAATTGGAAAAAAATTTCATTTTTTTTGGCTGCAAGGTTTAACATGAATCACATTATTTTTAAAAAAAAGATTTTTAAATAGAATCAGTTCTTTCTTATTGTGTATATCACTTAGCAATTAATCAATTTCTGTGATGTTCGATAGAGTCATGAAAATGATATTTGATCTTGTAAATCTAGAAACATCTAGTAGAATATTTAACTATTGGAAAAGAGACAATTAACCCAGTCCATATGAAAAAATTCACAAGAACATATAGGCCAAAAATCATTCAATTCCTCCCAAAGAGCTTTTAGCTAGGTGAAGTACATTGCTACTAAGTTTTGATCTTGTTGGTACTTAAAGAATTTAAGACACAATTGTTAGAGTTTAGGGTCATTATTGTAATGACATTTATCTCTAAGGTCATGCCAAATTTCTTATGAAAAATATGGAAAAATGGCACTTGTTATGAAAAAATATGGAAAAATATGGAAAAATGGCACTAATGTCAAAATTTAATACAAAACATGGGTGTCTTCTATTTCAAGGGGGTTGGTACTGAACCATCAATGAACTAGATTTTATGTTTCATATTGAAAGAATAATTATGATTTTGTTCCACAAACTCTAATTACCTCCTATACATTATAATTAAATATTAATATTTAAATAATGTAGAAAAACTCAAAAGATATTTTCTTTCATATTTTTATGAAGATGACATTACAAAATTTGTAGATTGAGGTCCCAATTAGAAGGTAATCCAATTCTTGAAGGTATTTTTATGAAAAATAATAATTGAATTTGAATAGACCAATGAATTTAGATCAACAACAGTAGCAATCAAATGTGCAAATCACCTGAATGGAGTCTTAGTTATCTCCAACAAGAAGAATACTTCTAGTGATAGAAAGATTATTCCACTAAAGGGTTTTTACCTCCTATTCTCTCCATGAGGAATTTGCTTTAATGGATGAGGATTCCCATGTCTTCTCTAGTGATTGTGAGATGGCGATAAGATTAAATTTAGAGAAATAGAAAAACTACTTTGAGAGGTTTTCTCATTGTCTATTGGAGCATTAAATTGAACTTATATATATTTGTCATTATCAAATGAAAAAAATAAAATTAATATGAGGCTAAATTTGCAAGTGTTCAGATATAACTCAAAATATATTGTTAAATATTCATATGAGAACTCACTAAGTACATTTATGACTCATGATTTCATCATTAAAAAATATATTTTAATAAATTTATATAAAAATATTAATATTTATAGAACTATCATAATATGAAATAAAGTGATTAAAGTCACCCAATTTTTGAGATTTCATGAAGAAAAATATGAGTATGAAAGCTCACCTAGTCCACCGTACATCCAAGATATTGCATTGTTATTTTTGAAACATTTTAGTATTAAATTAATTTATTGAGATCAAATTGTTCATTCTACAACATAAGTTTGTATACATATTAATGAATATGCTTTGAAAAATAATTTTAAATATTTTGAATTATCTGGTACAAATATAACATGGGATATTTTTTAATATTTTTAATATTTTTGACATTATCTAGATACTTGTTATCAATTTTGTTTAAATGATATCAGATCCCTAGTGGACTGAATTGAACAAGTATACTTCAGATATAAATGTTGTATTTTAATAGAACCATGTATTTCTTTATCATGGAGATATCCAAACCCATAAAAGATGTATAATATTAGTATATCAATTATATTAATTTATGCTTATTTTAGAGAAAATAAACATGAAATATTGTAAAAATCTGAGAGGATTTTTATATGTGATTTACATATAGTATCACATCTTGTGTATGTTCTTACCTATAACCCTTTAAGCTTATACCAATAATAAAACCTTAAGTTGAAACACAAATAACTGAAAATATTCAGTCCACAAGACCCAACAATTAATCAATTATACTTAGTGAAATATGTGATTATATACGAAAATAAAATTAAAAATTCACTTAAAATTATATTCAAATTATTGCAACCAAGTCACAAGCAATGTATAGTTCATCTGAAAAAAAAAATTCAACTTTTTAAACTCCAAATCATTAAATTACTTTTAATAAACCAACATAACCTATAATTTTGATCATTGATGCATGCACTAAACAACAAGATGATTTCCATATAATTTTAGAAATGTTTCTTTCATAAAATTTTTTTTGTGTAATATCATCTGGATATTTTATAAATTATTGAAAATATTTTCAAAATAAAAAATCATTATGTTTACTATGGATGTCTAATGAATAATCATTTGATGTTTATACATAAATGGTTTCATCATCATCAAACCAATTTATTGTTGATAAGGCTCATGAAGCTAACATGGCGGGTATCTAAGCTTAAGACTATTGCACCCATCCTCTTATGGAATTTTGTTCCTTTGACAAGTTATCGCATATTCTTCTAACAAGTTACTTTACCAAAATAAGCTTAAGAAATTAAAGTTTTACTTACAAAGGAGCTAATAAATCATGAGAAATCGAATAATTTGAGTTGATGTAGATAAGCTGAAGCAAGAGATAAAAGAGATGAGGACGAGGGCATCAAGAGAGGTAGAGGCCTCCACAATTTCATAAGTTGTTTAGTATCCTCATGAAAATTAATGGCTTACAGTTCTTCCTTGTCTTTAGCCCAATTTGGGGCTGCCTAAGAATCACCCAATATGGTAAATCCAATCCTAATCTCACTAGAGTCAGCCGTACTGATTTGGCCAAAGGATCTAACCCTAGTCCACCTAGTTTGAAGATGTGCTGGAGGGCTCAGCCACTGGTGATCCTAATTAGAACCAGGGAAGATCCAATGGGGCAAGTTGACTGGTCCGGACGACCCTTAGCCTCACCCAAATAGCCATTCTAGGCATTGAACAGGAACAAACAGATAGTCCCATAAACCAGCAAACTAGTTAGATCCCCAACGAAGAAGATAAGGATCTCACCTGGCCGGGCCGGGCCTGTAAAAGCCCGAAAAATGAGTTATGGCCCAGACCCTATTCTGGTTTGGACCCAACAGTCGGTGTGCGCTCACTGGGAAGATAGACAGATAGAGAGAGGGAGAGAGAGAGTCCTAGGAGACTGGGCAGGACTGCCACAAAAAACAGGCCGAAAAGGCCAAGAAAGTCGACAGGAGCCGTGGAGGATCCAAGGCCGGTGGGAAAGAAGACGAGGAAACTCTCTCTCTCTTTCTCTCTCTCGTCATCCACGAAAATCAGCGCCCAGAAATGGGAACCCAGTAGACGGTGAACTCCCAATTCTCGTCACCTGCCACCACGTGGCCCCTTCCAAGCCCCCGACAGGGACTGCTGACAGCAACTCCCCGAAATGATTCATAACCGCGGCAAACCTTTCGTAAGACCACCTGTCAGTGAGCTTCACCTCGCCCTCCCCTCTCGCTGTCAGCGGCGAGGTCGAGAATTCTTTAGTCTCACTTTCGGTGATAACACCTTCTGGCCGCCCGTATCCGGCCTCATGCCCTATTGGGCCTGTCATGCTGATCCACCTGGCGAGCGGTAACATCACCACTAGGCGAAGCCCATTAGGCCCATGTCGGTGGGTGGGTAAGGCGTCTGTGCGGTGGCGTTAGCTCACCCGTCCGAAGCTATCCGGTGGGCCCCAGTGGATATGGATTGGCTATTATCGTGTTGGGAGGGGGGCCTCCTCTCCACAGACGTGAGCATCACGGAGAGAGAGAGTTAGAGAGAGTTAGATATGGAGAGAGAGATAGAGAGAGATGTGTGTGGGTAGAATGAAGACATCCGTACGATTCTCGTCCTCGGAGATAGGAGAGGGAGGTGAGTACTGCAATACTTGTTATTTTGGGGGGCTGAACATAAAATGGGTTATTTTCAAATATATTACCAATGAAAAAAATAAATTGCGCAAAAAAAAATGAAAATTAATGCATTGACCCATTATGAGGAAGAGGACTGCTGGCCAGCCTCTCTCTCTCTCTCCTTGACTACTACAATACGTTGTGGGGCCCACAACGCTACACCCCAAGTTAATGGAATTCCATTATATGTAGAAAAGACGCGAAACTAATATTTTTATCTGTATTTGTAAATAAAATTATTTTTATGAATTTAAACGGAGGTTATTTATATGGGCCGTATATTTCTGAGGTTTTAGAGAGAGAGAGTATTGCGGGGGGGTTGCATAATTTTGGAAATTTTAGGGGTGAAAAGGAAAAGTGGATGGAAGGTACATGCGCTGTAAAACAGGCGGGAATATTATGACATGTCATGCACCGCCACGCGTCCGACTTTCCGATCTTGTCATCAACGGCTATCTGTTCTTCCACGTGGACTCACGGCCTCGTCGTCCTTACCGTCTATTTCCCCTCACCTCCGCCTCTCTCTCTCTTCCTCTGTGCTCCGCGGAGGCGGACGCAGCAGAGCTCTCTCTCTCCTCTCTCTCTCTCTCTCTCTCTCTCTCTAGCTCTGTGTCTATCCATCTATCTGTCTCTCTCTTCTATGGTGAGGAGCATGAGCATGGGATAGGGGAAGTGAAGAAGAAGCAGTGCTTACCGGAGATCTCTGAGGCCGTCTCTACTTCTGGTTGAGGAGTTTCTTCTCGGAGAAGTCCCCTTCTCCATCGCGCTCCCGTTTAGGAGGTTCAGGGGGAATCGGGAGCAGAGATGGCGGGGAATGCGTGGATCAACGGGTATCTGGAGGCGATACTGGACAGCGGGGCGGCGGCGATCTCGGCGGAGGATGGGAACCAGCAGAGGTGGCCGGTGTCGCCGGTGGAGCTGAAGGACGGGCCAGGCGGCGAAGATGGTGATGGAGGGATGGGGCTCTTCAATCCGACGAGGTACTTCGTGGAGGAAGTGGTGACGGGGGTGGACGAGACGGATCTCCACCGGACATGGATCAAGGTCGTCGCCACCCGCAACACCCGCGAGCGAAGCTCCCGCCTGGAGAATATGTGCTGGCGCATCTGGCACCTCGCCCGCAAGAAGAAACAGGTCCTCTCTCTCTCTCTCTCTCTCTCTCTCTCTCTCTCTACAGATGCTTGCCCTCTTTTTCTCCCTCTAGGCTCTCCGATAATCTCTGTGGAGTTTTGTCCATCTTTGTCTGAAGTCTCTTCTTCGAACGATACTACTCTGTAAACTCTCTCTCTCTCTCTCTCTCTCTCTTCTGTCTGTGTGTGTGAGCTCTTTCTCTCTCTAGTTCGTCCGAATAATTTTCTGTCTCTCTCTAAAATCTTCCATCCAAGTATTTCTCTGTTCTCTCGGCTTTCTGTTCCTCTGTATGTTTCTTTCTCTGGATTCCCTCCGTCTCTCCAGACTCAATTTCTATCGGAAATCTCTCTGCAAAAGCCTTCCTGTCTGAGTTCAATCCTCTCGTCGAAGCCTCACTCTCTCCCCCAAAATTCTCTATCTCTACCTCTGTCTCTCGCTCTCTGGTTCGTTCTGATTTTGGTGGGCGATGAGTAGCTGGAATGGGAGAACTACCAGAGGGCGGCAGGGCGGCGGCTGGAGAGGGAGCAGGGGAGGAGGGACGCCACTGAGGACATGTCGGAAGACCTATCGGAGGGGGAGAAGGGGGACATCGCCGGCGAGCTCGCCCCCCCTGAAACCCCCAGAGCGAAGCCTCCCAAGAGCATCTCCGATTCCTCCTGGACCGACGACAACAAAGGCAAGAAGCTCTACATCGTCCTTATCAGGTCCTCCTCCATCCTCCTTTCCTCTCTAGTCTGCGCCACCGCCGCCGCCGGTGACCATCTTCTCTCCACAGCTTGCACGGCCTTGTCCGGGGGGAGAACATGGAGCTCGGGAGAGACTCGGACACCGGCGGCCAGGTAAACCCCTCTTCCCTTTCCCCCCTCGCCGCCTCCAGCGGCGGCGCTGAGTCGGGAACTCCCGAGTTGAGCGGGTCGTCGCCGTGACGCAGGTGAAGTATGTGGTGGAGCTCGCCCGGGCGCTGGCCATGATGCCGGGGGTCTACCGCGTTGACCTCTTCACCCGCCAGATCTCCTCGCCAGAGGTGGACTGGAGCTACGGCGAGCCGACGGAGATGCTCACCGCTGGAGCCGAGGACGCCGACGGCAACGACGCCGGCGAGAGCGCCGGGGCCTACATCGTCCGCATCCCCTTCGGCCCCCGCGACAAGTACCTGCGCAAGGAGCTGCTGTGGCCGCACATCCAGGAGTTCGTCGACGGGGCGCTCTCCCACATTCTGAACATGGCGAGGGTCCTCGGCGAGCAGGTGGGCGGCGGTGAGGCAGTGTGGCCGTACGTGGTACACGGCCACTACGCCGACGCCGGCGATAGCGCGGCGCTGCTCTCCGGCGCGCTGAGCGTCCCGATGGTGCTCACGGGGCACTCCCTGGGGCGGAACAAGCTGGAGCAGCTGCTCAAGCAGGGGCGGCAGTCCAAGGAGGACATCAACGCCACCTACAAGATCATGCGCCGGATCGAGGCGGAGGAGCTCTCCCTCGACGCCGCGGAGCTCGTCATCACCAGCACCAAGCAGGAGATCGAGGAGCAGTGGGGGCTCTACGACGGGTTCGACGTCAAGCTCGAGAAGGTCCTCCGGGCCAGGTCCCGCCGCGGCGTCAACTGCCACGGCCGCTACATGCCCAGAATGGCGGTAAGTGGTGGCGCCGCCGCCGACGACGACGACCCAACTCAAATGCTCCACCGCTCAGCGACTGAGACATTGAGAAATGGCTGTGCTTGCAGGTGATCCCGCCGGGGATGGACTTCAGCAACGTGGTGGCGCAGGAGGACGGGGGGGGGGAAGGAGAAGGAGACGGCGCCGCCCTCGCCGCCGGCGAGGGTGGCGGCCCCGCTTCTCGTGCCCAGCCGCCGATATGGTACGAGGTGAACAGATTCCTGACGAACCCACACAAGCCGATGATCCTGGCCCTGTCGAGGCCAGACCCGAAGAAGAACATCACCACCCTCCTGAAGGCCTTCGGGGAGTGCCGCCCCCTGAGGGAGCTCGCCAACCTGGTAAGTCGCCGGCGGCGAGGAGGAGGAAGACGACGACCCAGAAGAATAAATGAACCTCTTAAAGCCATCGAACTGAACGCCGGCGGCGATGTGTCTTCCTTTTTTTTCTGCGCAGACGCTGGTGATGGGGAACAGGGATGACATCGACGAGATGTCCTCCGGCAACGCCAGCGTCCTCACCACCGTCCTCAAGCTGATCGACAAGTACGACCTCTACGGCCAGGTGGCCTACCCGAAGCACCACAAGCAGAACGACGTCCCTGAGATCTACAGGCTCGCCGCCAAGACCAAGGTCCGTAACCAGCGGCGAGTTGCCTGAGGAATAAGACGACCTCTGATATCATCCATTACATGACTGACTGACTGGTTTTGGGAAAAAAAAAACATCTGTAGGGGGTCTTCATCAACCCGGCGCTGGTGGAGCCCTTCGGCTTAACCCTGATCGAGGCCGCTGCCCATGGGCTCCCCATGGTGGCCACCCAGAACGGAGGTCCAGTCGACATCAACAGGGTACACACCAGTCTCAAGTTCCCAACCCTCCATTAATGGCGTCCTGTCCGAGCTCAAGCCTTCCTCTTCGTCCTTATTTGATGGAGTTCAGGCGCTGAACAACGGCCTGCTGGTGGACCCGCACGACCAGAAGGCCATAGCCGACGCGCTTCTGAAGCTAGTGGCCGACAAGAACCTGTGGACAGAGTGCCGGAAGAACGGGTGGAAGAACATCCACCTCTTCTCATGGCCGGAGCACTGCCGGACATACCTCACCAGAGTGGCCGCCTGCCGGATGAGGCACCCGCAGTGGCAGGTCGACACCCCGCTGGACGGCATGCCGGCGGAGGAATCCCTTGGAGACTCCCTCACGGACTTCCAGGAGTCCTCCCTCCGGCTCTCAGTCGACGGCGAGAAGATCTCCCTCAACGACCCCGACGAGCTCGAGAAGGTTGCAGAGGAAGAGGACGACCCCGAGCTCCAGAGCCAGGTGAGGAGGATACTCAACAAGATCAGGAGGGCCCCCGCCGCCGATTCTTCCCAGCCGGCGGAGGACTCCAAGAGAGGGGAGATCTCCTCCACCGCCCTCAGCAGGTCCCCTCTTCTCCGGCGACGGCGAAGGCTGTTCGTGATAGCTCTCGACTGCTACGACGACTCCGGCAGGCCGGACCGGCGGATGTTGCAGGTGATCCAGGAGGTTTTCAGGGCGGTGAAGCTGGACTCCCAGTTGGCGAGGATCTCTGGTTTCGCTCTCACCACCGCCATGCCGATCTCGGAGACGGTGGAGCTGCTGAAATCGGGGAGGATCCGGCCGGCGGAGTTTGATGCCCTAATCTGCAGCAGCGGCAGCGAGGTCTACTACCCGGGAACCTCCATCTGCGTCACGGATGATGGCCAGCTCTGCCCCGACCCCGACTACGCCGCCCACATCGAGTACCGCTGGGAGCGCCACGGGGTGAGGAGGACGACGGGGAAGCTGATGAGCGCCCCCGACGTCAGCTCCGGCGACTCCCCCGCCGCCACCGTCGTTGATGAAGACGTCCAGTCCAGCGGCCCCCACTGCGTCTCCTTCTTCGTCAACGACTGTTCCTCGGTACTCAGATACACCTCCCCCTCTCCAGCTCTCTCTCTCTCTCTCTCTCTCTTTCTCTCTCTCTCTCTCTCTTTCTCTCTCTTCTGAAACCTGTGGGGGAACCAGGCGAAGAAGGTGGACGATCTCCGGCAGAAGCTGAGGATGAGGGGGCTGCGATGCCATGTGATGTACTGCAGGAACTCCACGAGGCTGCAAGTGATCCCGCTCCTAGCCTCCCGGTCGCAGGCGCTCAGGTAAGAGCCCACCTCGCCGTCTTCTTCTTCTTCTTCTCCCCCGACGGCGTCGGCGCTGATGACCGGAGGCTTCATCGATGTCCGGCAGGTACCTCTTCGTGCGGTGGGGTCTGAACGTCGCCAACATGTTCGTGATCATGGGGGAGAAGGGGGACACGGACCACGAGGAGATGATCGCCGGCACCCACAGGACGATAATCCTCGGCGGCGCGGTGGAGAAGGGCTCGGAGGCGTTGCTGAGGGCCGCCGGCAGCTACCAGAGGGAGGACATCGTTCCCGGCGGCAACCCCACGACGGTGCACACCACCGGCGGGTTCAAGGCCGAGGAGATCCTCGCCGCCACGAGGGCCGTCTCCAAGGCTTCCTCCGGAAAATGATCAGGCGTCTCCACCTGATCATCACCCAAGTTCGCATCCTAGAGAGAGAAAGAAGGGAAACCAATCTCCCCTCTCTCTCTCTCTCCCACCAGTGGTGTTTACATTAAAATAAATATCTATTTATAATTCGCATAAAAAACCAACCATTTCTTCCATGAGAGTCAAGCCAACCAGGTGGGTTCACTAAAATAATAAATGATTTCAATTAATTCCCCTACTTCTCTAATTGGTAATTGGCCCATCACAAAATCTCTCTCTCTCTCTCTCTCTCTCTCTCTCTCTCTCTCTCTCTCATTTATCATAAAACAAATACCAATTCATAATTTGCATCAAAATCCAAACCTTTCTTTCATGATGGCCAAGCCGAAAAGGTGTATTCAGGATGGTCTATTAATAATTTATTTTTAATTTTAATTTAATTTTAGATATGATAATGAACTGAATGCTTCCAAATTCATCTTTATTTAATTTAAAGACCACTAAAATTATAACTATTTGAAAATTTCTGTGTACATTTAATTTTAATTTCTCTTCATGCACAATTCAATCAATTTAAGATGAGATACAATTGTCAAAAAGATAAACAATATTTTAATAAACTCATCTCACATTATGTGCAAGAAAAAAAATTAAAACTAAATGTATGAAGACGAGATATTTAATTATTTCAATCTAAAATAACTCTAACTAGAATTATTTTGGATTGAAATAAGAGAGATCTGAAGTGTTCATTTGGTTGTGACCTTTGGAGACAATCAAGAAAAGACCAAAAGACAATGGAACTAATTAATAAACCACTATAAAAGAAGCAAGATAATAAAGAATCTAACTAATGGATTTGAAACATAGAGCTCTATTCTACTGAAAGGATGGAGCTCTATGTCGTAAGATGGATGTACAATTATGAGGAAGTAGGGGATTTTCTGACAATAGTGGTAGAAAGGCATGGGCCGCCTTGTTGGAGTAGGAGGTCCTTCATCTCTCTATAGTTTTTGAGCTCTTCCAATGCGTCGGAGGTTGTCCTCGACCGGAGAAGAGATGGCGGAGCAGCAGCGGTGGGCGACTCGAGGTTCTTCTCGACAACCATCGCCCTCCCTCTACTATGAGGTTCATCTTGAGGCTGCGGCGGTGGGCTTTCTAGCTTGTGGGGGTCTTGGTGCAGTGGCGGGGCATGTTTAAGCATGATGACGAGCTCACCAACGGCGGCGCCCTGGGATTTTCTCACTGGGAGGAGCCCACCGAAGTCCAGGTGATCAGTGGGTTCTCTTTCTTCAGGAGGATCCGCCCTGGAGAATACATCGGAGTTTGTCAGTCAGATGCTTAGCTATATCTACAGAGAGAAGAAAAAGAAGAAGAAGAAGAGAGAGACACAGAGAAGAAGAAGATGTGCAGGAAGAAGAATTAAGATGAAGGGGAAGAGAGATATAGAGAGATAGAAAGAGAGAGAGAGAGAGAGAGAGAGAGAGAGAGAGAGAGAAAGAGAGAAAGAGAGAGAGAGAGTTGAGCAGGGAAGTGGTAGTGGGGATGCTACAAGACCCGGATTTTTGGGCTGACATTAGGAGCCTATAATGAAACCATACATTAAACATTCCATGGGATTAAACTCTTGGAAGGGAGGACAGATGCAGAAACTAGGTTTCATGTGTCTCGTCTTGATGCATGGAGGAAACCAACAGCCACACCACAAGAGAGTGCTGAATCCCTGATTAGGGTAGTGAACCATCTGGGTTCTGAAGAAGGATCTATGATTCTCCATATCAGTTTCCATAATCAAAGATCATATCAAGTTATTTGCACAAAATGAAACCCAACTTAAAGAGAAAGTAATTTTATATTGTCTCCTACATGGATAATACCCATTAAAAGTCCAAATAAACTCGATAAATGAAGATAAATTCAGATTAGAGCTGAAGCTCCTGGCCTGAAGAAGTCGTCATCGAAATTTTGTGTAATTATTGAAGGATTCATAAGCAAGTTTTCCACGTTTAGCAGAATCTAAATCATATTTATTTATTTTCACAAAAAGAAAACCAACTCTCAAGGAAAATAATTTTATTATCTATTACTCGGATAAAATACCCATTATGAGACCCAATAATCTCAACAAATGACGTGAATGCCAGAATAGTGATTTAGGGATTCATAAGCAGATCTGCTGCAGTTTTTAGGATTAAATTATGTTTATTTATTTATTTCTTCGCACAAAAGGAAAGCTAACTTTAAAAGAAAATAATTATAGCACATCTTGCATGCATATACTGCCCATGAAGAGATTAATAAGCTAAAGAAAAAAAGTGAATGGCACCCCAATTCGGATTGCAGCAGAGATTCCTGAACATGAGAGGCTGTTGCTAAAACTGTCGAAGTATTTGTGTAATGATTCTATATACACAAAAAAGTTATGATCTCACACCCACTTTCCAAATATAGTATAGATAAATGTATTACAGCTGATTACCAATGTTTAGAACTATGGTCATAAACAGCCACTCTAGAGTAAAAGGGTTATTCGGATTAAAAAAAACAATAATCAGAATCTTGAGAACCATATTGACGGCATCTAATGGGAAATAGCGCACAAACAGCATTCCATATAGATGTGGGATGGGGCAGTGAGGTGAAGAACACCACAGACAGCAGCAATGGCTGGCGGAAGAGATGGTGGATGCCACGAGTTTTTCTCTACTTCTTATCCCATTCCCCTCTCCCCTGTTCGTCATCTTCTGCCCATCACCAGAGGGTTGTACGGGCGGATCATCCCCCCACCCCCCACCCCCCCCAAGATATTATTATCCCTCTTCTAGCCAATTCTTGTTTTCTGTTCTCGATTTCATGGAGGGCAGGTGGGTGGGTTTTTCTCCATTTGTTCAGATAAAGATATCAGATACAGTTTGGAGTATAGATGATCAAGCAAGAATTATACTTGATCGAGCGTAGATCACCAAGAGAATCATAGAGAAATGAAGAGCATTACCCCTATCGAGATCAATGTAAAATTTGAATACGGAGAGTTGACTTTCATTACCTGAAGTCGTCATCTTCTACAAACGGGCAGAGGAACCCGGAATTGACAAACTCATCCAGCATAGATAACCTAATCGTGTTGCTGGTGTTTGGTAGCAACCTTGGCGAAGTGCAGGCTGCCATCAATCCTCCAAGAAGATTACCAGAATTTGTTGCCCCTTGAGAAGGAACCTGCAGAAGACCCAATGAAACCCTAATACTATGATAACTTTTCTTTAATTGGAAGACCCAAAAGACATTGCTAAGAGATTAGACCTTCTGGATTATTACGCCGGGCTGGGACTCCCCCTGGAGTGATTCTGGCTTTGCCTGAAATCTGCCGTCTGGTGGAGACGGCTGAGATGAAGAGGGTGCATGTTCTTGAGCCCTGACATTATCCGCCCAATAATGGCAATGAGGCCTCGCTCCCCTTGGCGAGGGCAATGGAGGCAGGGCGTCATTTGACAAGCAACTGTTCCTCTGAGGAAGGGGCACCCTCTCCGGGGCACTCTCTGTGCGCAAGAGAGCATTCAAGGAAACACGAGCAGGAAGATATGGAGGGGAAGCAGAAGACGACGGCAAGGATGATGGTGACCGATCCTGTTCATCAAAGCTTATACCCTTGTTGTGGACTAGAGATGCTGCCCTGTGGGGGATGATCAAGCCCTTTGGTAGTGAACTACCAGAAGCCCTCCACCCAGGAAGAGGAAGCTCGGGATTCGCCTGCTGGCTTGAGGTTCTGGTGCATGAGCGGGTGGGTGAAGGCGAAGGAGATGCAGAGGGGGTACTCCGATGGCTGTTGCTCCAGCTATGGCGCCTGGTGAAGGAGACATATGTGGGGATGGGAACTGCAGAGGGCAGACACTCGAATCTCTTGAGGGGGTCCGCCAACGGGCTTCCGACGTAATCTGAGATCAACTGAGCTGATAATGGCGTCCAGGGTTCCGAGCTGAGGTTCTCCAATGTCGGAAGATATGAGACAGAGAGGCAGAGGCGGCCACAGGGAGTGTCAATGGGGGAGAAGGTGTACTGCTGCATCTCCTCGTCCTCCACCCGAGTGAAGGGCTCCACGAAGGAAGAAATCCTGTGGGCGAGGCTGAAAGGGAGGACCTGGCCGGTGGAAACAAGGTCTCTGAAGATCTTGTAAGCAGGGAGAAGCCTCACGGTCAAATACAGAGATCTGAGCAGGATGATGGACCTCTTGTACACCTTCCTCTGAGCCGCAGACATTTCAGAGGAATGGGAGCTACCACTGGTGGTCCTCCCCCTCCCACCCGAGCTCGGCTCCGTCATCCCTGCGCAGCCTCCGCTGTTTCTGCTCTCGTACTGCACCACCCATCTTTCTATGATCTTCTCCCGTCTTTCTGTGCCAGGTTCGTCCTGCTCCAAGCTCCAGCAATTAGGGTATCGATCCTTTGCAGAGATGTTCCTAACCAGACACCCGCCGGGGGGACGGTGGGTCTGGTCCAGGTCTGAAGGTCGCCGGACGAGGATGACGTCGATGACCAGGGGGGCGAAGTTGCTCTCTCCGACGCCCCACAGATCCATGTTCTCCAGGGCGGCGGGACAGTCCCCGAGAGCCAGGTTGAACCACTTGTCCCTAGGGCGAACGCTGGAGGTTGAAGATGACGAGGAAGGCGACGAGGTCGAGGGGTCTCCGCTGCAGCAGTTGCGGGAAGAAGCGCATTGATACCTCGACCCGAGGATAATATGGAGGCTCTTCGCGAAGAATTCTGTGATGATCTGCTCGACCATGGGGGCTTCAGAGTGGGCATTGCGTTGCGGAGATGCCATCTACTCCGATTGGGGGAAGCTCGGAGACGCGATCGACCAGTTTTCCAGGCCAAATTGGTTGAATCTACGTAACACAGAAGGAGAATTCCGGTGTTCCTCTTCAGCAGGGATCCCTGGAGAGCAGCCGCGAAGATGCAATGCAGAATTCAGATTGGCGAAGCGTGTGGCTATATTTCTCGGGCAAGATCGTCGAAAATCTTCGAGGAAAAACTTGCAGAAGCCTAGGTTACGATCGAAGAACCCGCACCCAGGTCACCAGTGTTTCAGGATGAGAGGATGATACTGGAAAAAAGCGATGAATCGATCTAGCAAACGAAAACACGAGGCCACGAAGAATCAAATCACTTCGAAACGAGGAGAACAAAGCACAGAAATCCCAACCCGATGAACGATTGTAGCCCTAGAAAATCCCGACGAAGAGGAGCCACGAGCAATTACCGACTTCGAACCCACTCTCCACACGCAAACTTGGGAGTGGACTCACTGCTTGAATCCGCAGGGGGAGAAAATGGAGCCATAAATCATAAAGAGAGAGAGAGAGGAGGGGAGGAGATCACCTTTCATCTCGAGGACTTTCGCTCCCCCCCCACCCTTTCCCCCTTTCCGTGGCCAGAAATCTCGACGACCTCTCCCTCTGCTCTCTGCGAGGACGGAAATCTCCCGGTCTCCTCTCAGCGGCGTTTATTTCGGGTTTGCCACGGTCGCACGGCCTAAATCACGAACGTACCCCCCTCCCCCTAATCTCTCTCTCCTCTCTCTCTCTCTCTCTCTCTCTCTCTCTCTCTCGCTGAAAGACCTGAAACAGCTGATATAGAGGAAGAGAGAGAGATTCGCACACAAGAGGAGGCCCCTTTATTCCAGGAGAACCAGTAGACACACGGAGAGAACCAGCAGCCGCGCACTCTGGGGAGCCATGAAGGAGAGAAAACCCTAGGAGAAACCCTAGACAGAGGAGGAGGAAGAAGAAGAAGAAGGCCTTCCCCCGGCAGTTCCTCAGTTCACAACCCTGCAGTTCCTCCTCACCTCTCCGGCGGCTCCCGCCGGCGCCCTCAGCCTGCCCATCTTGACCATGGCCGCCTTGAAGTCCTGGAAGAAGGCCATGGGATCCGCCGCGTAGTCCTCCACGATGGCGAGGACCTGGCCGTCTCCTCCGGCGACCAGCACCTGGTCGGAGGAGAGCAGGCCCACGCCGTTGAGCAGATTGGTGTAGTACTGGTTGTCGAAGGCCACCGGAGTTACGAGGTCCAGATGGGCCAGGGCCGTCGAATTTCCTCCGTCGCAGAGTTGCTGCAGGGAGTCGAGGAAGCCCACCTCGCCGGCACCGGGGACGACGGCGGCGCCGCCGGGGGGGGAGCCCTTCAACCGGGAGCTGAACGAGCTGCACCGCGCGTTGCCTATGGTGTGCCCTCCTGAATTCAAGGCGAGGAGATGTCAGATGTGACGTGTCACCACAAGGAAATGCCACGGTGGATCGTTGACTGAAATTTTTGACACCTGAGAGGGCCACCATGTCCCTCGGGGAGAGGCCGAGGCGGTTGAAGCGGTCAACGAGCGCCCTCAAGTCGGAGTTGGGCCCCGGGATGTTCTTGTTGGCAGCTGACTTGCTGGCCGTCAAGCTGTCCCTCCTCCCCAGCTCCGCGTCCCACGTGGGTCCACCCAACTGGATAACGTATCCAGATGAGTCAGTGCAAAGATGGAAAAGTCAAGCTCCGGTCATGCCGGAGGAGCTCACCAGCGCGACGGCGTCCCTGGCGGCGACGGCGAGGATGTCGGCGCAGGAGACTATCCCCGGGCAGGACGCCTCCAGCTCCAGCTTGATGCCGTCGACGACCTCGAAGCCTCTGAGGGAGTTCGCATTCGGTCCGGCGGTCTTCTCTCCGGCGAACGCCGGCGAGTCATCCAGCAGCACCGACCCGTCGCAGCCCTGCGCCGGAGAGAGAGAGAGCTTAGAGATCGCCGGAGCCGGAACTGGACAATACTAGACAATACCTGCGTTGACGAAGGACGGAGATAATAGAAGAGAGAGATCCGAAGATCGCCGGAGCCGGCATGGGGCTACGTTGGAGGATACTCACATTGACGAAGCAGTCGTGAAAGTGAAGGCGGAGGAGCGACGCGGCCATCCGGGGGTCGCCGGCGACGGCCCTCTGCACTCCGCCGAAGATGATCTCCTCCGCCGTCGGGCAACTGCTCCTGTACAGGTCGATCTCCAAAGACCACCCGACCTCGCCGCCTACTCCCCCAAAGAACCCCCCTCCCAAGCAGTCCTTCTCCACAGCTCTCAGCTCTGAGGCCATCCCGAGAAGAAGAAGAAGAAGAAGAAGAAGAGAATAACGCAGCACAGTCCCCATCTCCCTCTCTCTCTCTCTCTCTAGCTCCGAGGTGAGCTAGTGAAGCTGTCATGAAGGGATTATATAGCCCCGGAGGAGGGAGAAAGACCGACCGGGCTGGTCAGAGCTTCGTCTTCTTCGAGCTCGTGATGGCTCCGGCGATTAGGTCACGGGATTAGGTCACCGGCACATGGCACCGGCGACTCCCCTGAGCAGGCCGTTGACCCCGTCGGCGGCGATCGTCAGCCACCGGGGGCTTCCCGCGTAGCCGGTGAAACCGACTGTCCTTGCCGGCAGTACTGCACAGACCCAGCTGTTGAAATTCTTCTAGAGTTTTATATATAAGTCTGATCCATACGTTACATGCCATAATTATCATCATAACACAGTATATGGGATTAGTCAACCATCCTCACTCATATCGCATATCAAGAACTAATTGATGATTAGTCAAGCAAGGTCCTTCCTTTTTATAGTAACGTCATTAATTTTGATGTTTTGTCATCATTAGTTGATCAAGTACCATTAATGGAAACTGGATCGCCATCATAATCATGCATGTGATGATTCTAATGATAGTCAACCTTGCTCAAGGTTGACCATTAGTCCATTGGGTGGGTCAAATATATGGGATTAGTCAACCTCGTCTAAGCTAGGTAGATTAGCTCCTCATTGTTGACTTAATCTCCTCTTTTTATTATGAACTAGCCTATTTTTTTCCTTTATTTTTATTTTGTTTGAATTACATACTAAAAATTGTTAACTTAATACTTGGGAAAGAATTGGGAATTTCTCTCTTGGAATGCATTATTAGAAAGCAATTCAGGAAAAGTCATTGCAGTGTGGTGGCCATCGTGGATGACACGTGGCGTAGTTCAATCCAACCACGCCTCTCTCTCTCTTCTTTGAATAATATTCGTAGCGGGGAACTGATATTGGGCCCTATTAAAAGACATCCAGATTGATCGGACCTGGTTAGACCCAATTAATTTTTTGGGCCTTGTAAAAACACGGCCATCTCCTACTGGGGTTGGTAGAGTAGGTCCATATATACTACATATTGGTCCATTAATTTCGAGGCAGAGACCCAGAAACACCCGAGGGCGAAAATTACTGATAACACCCCTGTGTATCTCTTTCCTTTGATCTCCACCCCCCCAAATTATCCTCATTGACCCGAAAGACCCGATAAGACTCCAGTAGGATGTGGAGCTGATACGGATAGTGAAGGCACGGTGAGGAGGAAGAGGGACGGTGGCCGGCCGGAGAAAGGGAAAGGGCGCAGGCGGCGGCGATTCCTTCCCGGTCGCCGGCGGCGGTGGTACGTGAATGCTCTCAAATTCCGTTCCTCGCAGCTCCAGGAGGATTTTCTACCGGTAAATCGAGCGCCCTGTGATCCCGTCCGCCGTCGCTGGTTGCTTCCACTGGGCGGCTGATCGCTAGGGCTGGGATCCCTGATCGGGAAGGGGGAATTGCCTCCGGCGCGGGGCTGAGAGCTTCCGTGGAATGGAATACCTACAGGATGAGGAGGACCTGAAAATGGCCCTGCTTATGAGCCTGCAGAGCGCGCCGTCGGAGGCCAAGAGGAGCAAGCCGCCGGAGGATCCGGAGGAGTCCCCCGAAGCCAGGGGGCGTAGGCTGCGGAGGGAGGTCATGGCCGCGGCCGCGGAGAGGAGGATGGCCACAAGCCGTTCAGGGGGGCTGGGGGAATCCCGTCCCGAGATCAATGCAGTGGCCGTGCCGGAGGCTAGCGTTTCTGCTGCTGTGGAGTCCCCCAGAGTAGAAGATCGCGTGGATGGGCAGAGTCCGGCTGGCGCGGGTTTGGCGTGCCTTAGAACGAAGACAGAGTGTAACACCGACCGTAAGGTGGTCGGGGAAACGAGGCAGGTGGATGTTGGCGAGCTATGCCAAGAGGATGCCAATAGGCTATTTTCCATGCTTTTTGGAGGTGCCGTCTCAAAGAGCATCCTATTGCAGTGGACTAACCAGGGCATCAGGTATACACCTTTAAATTGCCGATGAACAGCTGATTTGGTGGAATTTACAGCAAGCATATGTTTTTCATTGCCATTTTTTTATTTTTCACCACTTTATGATCATTTTTCTGCCAAATGTTGGCCATCTCTCGTGGAATAATGTGCTATATTCCTACAGTGCGTCATTTTTCCCGCCGATATTCTTGACTACACTTTGGCTGTGCGAGTTTCATAGTGTGATAACAGAAGTCGGCCTAGAAATTTACAAGTTTTTCTGAAAAAGGTTTCCCCAGTGAAGTGGTGTTCATCTGTTCTACTGTTGTCGTGTTTAATGGCGGCCTGGGTGAGACTTAAAACTAACACAAGTACACTATATCCTTGAAGCACTCAAGGGTATGTGCTTGTAGCTATTTTCTAAATCCATGCATTGAAAGCACCTTATTTTTCCACGTTTATGTTAGAGAGCTGATGAACCTATGCTAGAGTCGTGGTTCCATGCAGTGGAACTGAAGCTTAATGCTTCTTAGAGGTTATGGGAGAGGAAAGACAGTGATATTTGTGGGATTTGTTGTCTGCGGAAGAGATACTCGTCTTGATGGGCTGCTCGTTTCATTAGAAGTATCATAGCTTGACTTCCCTCGGTTTAGAGACCATGGATTCGCAAATTTTTGGTGTTACTGTTTATTCTCACCTCAGAGAGCATTCTGTAAGACCAATTATAACCTAAATACAACGTTAAAATTGTTTAATATTTGTTTAATTTTATTTAGCTGGACTTAAGAGAACATTATCCTCTCGTATCTGATTGATGCAAGCTAGCGTACCATTAAAATCAGATCAGGTTTGATAAACTGATGAAGTAATATCGTTGATTAGTTCCGTCTCAATTGATAAAGAATGGATAAAAAAAATGTTATTTTCATACCAACATTAATATCCCGAACAATGTGCTTGTGGACGGTGTGTAGTCCAGTATACCTGAATCACAGTATGATCATGAGGTCCTTTGCTCTATACCCCAGAGTAGATGGCTCAGTCTAGAATTAGCTGATTGGTTTATATTCGAAAGAGAGGGAGTTAGGTGTCCAGAAAGAGACGTGAATCATTCGGAATTTCGTTGCAGGACGCTTATGTGAAATGAATGGAAGAGATTTGTCGACTTGATCAAACAAGCCACAATTCTTTGATGTACTGTTAAGTGTGACACTCTAGATGGATAGTGCATACAAGATGGTGGATCTGGATCATTTTTTTTAGAGTACGTTTCATAGGTTGGAACTTACTTGGGATGGCATTATATTTTTTTTATTTACTTTTCTTGTTTTTACTAGTGATTTACGGTTCTGTAAACCTTGAAGACTATCGCACACAAATTACAACGGGTATAAATTTTCATCATCGACAGCATTGTCATAAGGTTTTATCCGTTACTGCAGGGTCCTAGGACTTGAGAGTTCTTGAGAATTGGACGTAGTTTTTCAGCTGACTGCCAAAACGATGTCAACCCCATTCATGGTACAATATCTCAACCAGCAGAAGGCCGTGAGAAGAACTGTACATTATATATCTGGTCCCAAGTCTTTTTCTTTGCTGGATGACTACTAAAAAGCTTCGATCATTCACGACATCTTCATATTTGATTCTACACATTGTACTGATATTTAGATATTTTCGGTATTGTGAAGCTCTACTATGCATGTAGCCCTAACTTCGGTCTGTTTTATTTTACATTGATCGCGTTTATTTAAGTTGTTTTGGCAGATAAAAATGCAAGAATATGTGGTATCAATGAATGTGAATAAATAAAGTGGATCATTAGTTCTATAAACTTTATATGTTTCCCGGTCCTATTCTCACGAATCAAATGACTGAAATAAAAAATTGGACTGTTAGAGGACAGGCATCCTTCACATATTCTGATGGAGACACAGTACATGTAGGCTGGGATGGAAGAGAGCTAGCATCATAGGTTTTTAAAGATATTTTGTCAACTGGGTAGACTACTGGCCAGATTGCAGCTGGCCCAACGTTGAAACTTAGGTAAAACCTCACTAGGCTTAGTCAACGGCCGTTGCCTTCTTTTGGAAAGCTCTAGGGATTGGAGAAGTCGTGGAAACTTTCTAAAAAAAGATGAGCATCCGGATTTCATGTCTTGGAGCCAAGTACTCGGAAATTGAATCACTAATCAATTCGTTCTTCAGTGCTCCAAATCTTCTTTTTTGTCTTTTTTTTTTGTATTTTTTTTTTCTTTCTTTAATGTTCATCTTTGATCTGTTTCATGTTATTGTTGATAGCACTTTCTGTTTTTTCTCTGGAAAATAATGAAATTGTTGTTTGTTATTTAATCAATCTGAAATTGATCTTTTGTACCACCAACTTACTGAACCATAACAACTTGTAGGTTCAGCTCTGATCATGAAACGTGTATGGGACTGGTTCAGCATAAAGGTGGTCCTTGCGGAATACTTGCACCAATACAGGTGATCTACTTTCTAAGACCCGAAAAGCTTCAAAGGTTGCAACTTTGCTCGAGTGATTTATTTTCATCCCATTATTTCTATCAATGATATTTTTTTCCATTGTAGCACTACTAAAATACGTTTGGAAGCAATTTGTATATATATATATATATATATAAAGTCAACGCCATAATTATTCCGCATCTTTGACCTATGAACCTGGTCCTGCAGGCATTTGTCCTCAAATATCTTCTATTTTTTCCGACGGAGCTAGATAAAGTTTCTCCCTCCATTCTTCAACCCGAGCATGAACAGAAGAGATTCCCTCAACGATCGCAGTTCAAAGGAGATGATTTTTCTTCCATAACAGAAATCAGGAAAACAAGGTGATATCTCTTCTCCCCTTTTGAGTCCCCATCCAACTCAATTGGACAGGTCTTTTCGAGTGCCCAGTTCAAACGTCTGATATTATTCTGGATAATCCCAGTCACTGAATAAATGGAAAAATATATGTAATTTATTTGGAACTGACAGAATTTCTTTTCATAATTTGATTTTATGCAAGATTTGGAAGCTTTTTTTCTGCTCACCCTGGGAAATCAAAAAAGACTGATATTATTCCAGTCACTGAATAAATGGAAAAATATATGTAATTCATGTGGAACTGACAGAAATTACATATATTTTTCACTAAATATGCTGGTCCAACTGGAGGAAGCCCAGGATGAAAAATATATGTAATTTACTGACAGAAATTACATGTATTTTTCATTAACCATGCTGGTCCAACTGGAGGAAACACAGGATGAAACTAGTCCAGATCATCACCCTCTCCCGTTTTCTGGAGTGCATTATTTCCCTTCTTGAGCTGATTTTTTTAATGAAACTAATCTTACGATAGTTGAATAAACCTCACTAATGGTTATCTTCTTAAAGTAAAGAGTCATCCAAAGGGCCAGACTCGGAACACATCTTTGCATAAATAGTAAAATGTCGAATGCCATGTTTGGGACAGTGTTCTTGTTTTGATCTCCGGATTAGTGAAGATGAAGCATGCTTTCCTGAAGGCTTCCTCTCCCGTTTTGAACCCTTTTGGATCTCCGCCTAGTCAGTTTCTTCAGGTAAGTTGACTTCCAATCAGGCCCGTAACCAGATGGTCATCTCTTTTTGATCCGATTGGATATCATCTACTTTTTTGGCCTTTTCTGTTTCTTGACCTGCCATCATTGCAGCCCAGTGTTGCTCTTCCAAGCCTGGTTCTTGTCGCATGATTGATCTTAATGAATAGCGTGATTTTATAAACTCCCACATTCTTGGGGAACCCCTTGTATGATTGCATATCATCATATCATTGCCATTCTGAGATATAATGCCAGTTCATGAAATCCGCTGAAAGGATGAATACCCAGTTCCTCAATCCTCTTTGGGCCAAAATCTACCAGAAAAACAAATATATATATATATATATATATATATATATATATATCTTCCCGAATATAATACCTCCGCTCATTCATCTTCCCAGAGCATTGGTGCTGAGCATGGTAGAAATACTGTTCTTGTGTGGGAACAAGAAGAGGGCGGCAGTTGCGACGCTGAGTATCTTCACCCATCACGCAGATGATGAGCTTGCTGGTGAGCAGAAAAATGAGGTGAGAAAGAATCATACTCAGGTCGGATGGGTGTTCTTCGTCGCTTTTAGAAGCATTAGCTTCAACTGGGTGCTCCTGCAGGCGGTTTCAGAAGCCCTGGAAGACCTCTCAGTAGAATCAGCCTCCGACCTGAAGAAATACCTGAGAGTGAGCACCCACGACTCACCAACAGATGCTTACAATCACCTCATGGCGGAGCTCCCGGTCTTCCAGAGCCGGATGGGGGCGGTGCTGTTCCTCATTTCTGCCCTGCTCTCCCGAGGACTGGTGAGTGTGGCGCCTTATTCTCTCTCTTCTGCCTCCATGCTTCTCTTCCCTCCATCTTCGTCTTCGTCATCACTGTGTTCAGGATGAGAGAAGAAACCATGCATATATATACACAAAAACCATCCAGAAGATTTGGGCTGGAGCCTTCGGAGCTGATGCCTGCTGTTTAATCCTTCTCAGGATGCCATTCAGGCAGACAGGGACGACCCCAGCCTTCCTTTGGTTACCTCTCCATTCGGGCACGCCTCCCAGGTACCCTGAACGCATCTGATCCGACCAGAAACCCTAATTTCAACTCAATTCCAGGGATAGATTATGATGATAGAAATCACTGCTCCGTGTTCTTCCTGCACTGCTGCATCAGGAAATAGTGAACTTGCTGATTTGCGGGGAGGCGGTGGCGAATGTGTTCGATGGCCGGATGGATCTCGGCGGCGGCATGTCCCTGAAGGGGATCCCCGGTGGCGTGGAGGTGGGGTTCCTCACCCTCCTGGAGTCGCTCAACTACTGCAAGGTCGGGCAGTTCCTCAAGCGGCCGCGGTGGCCCATCTGGGTCGTCGGTAGCGAGTCCCACTACACGGTGCTCTTCGCCCTCGACGCCGCTGCGCAGGCCGAGAACGAGCTGGAAGAGCGCGAGGCGAAGATCAGGGCGGCGTTCGATGCCCAGGACCAGAGCGGCGGCGGCGGCTTCATCGGCGTCGATGGGTTCCACCAGGTGCTCCGGGACGCCGCCGTCGCCCTCCCGCCGGAGAAGGTGAGCAGCCTATGCGCGGCCGGCTTCATCGTGTGGAACGAGTTCTGGCAGGCGCTGCTGGATCTCGATCAGAGCAATGGGGGCTTGAAGGACTCCTCCGGTAAGATGGGGAAGAAGCAGTTCGACGTCTTCCACTTCAATGGCATCGCCAAGTCCGTCCCCAACGGCGGAGCTCCCGTCGCCGGCGGCGAGGTCCCGCTGCAGAGGCCCAGGCTGTCGAAGCTCCACGTCTCGGTGCCGCCCAAGTGGACGCAGGAGGAGTTCATGACCGACATCGCCACCACCGCTGCTCCAAGCTCCGATGCGGCGGCTCCACCACCGCCGCCCCCGGCGGAACCGGCCCAGCACGCTCCTCTCGTGGACTGCATCCGGACACGGTGGCCGCGGGCGACCTGCAGCTGGGATGGAGACTCCCCCAGCATCGTCTGAGCACCTGCAGCAGGAAGAACACCGCCGGTGGCGCCGCCTTCCATTTGTTCGACCTCTCCAGTCTTTTGTGAATTTTGATCCCATTCCAGTATATTTTACGACTTCCTACAGCAGGACTGAACTGGCAGACCTTCGAGGGGAAGAGAGTAGCTACCAATGAATTGTATCACAGATGAACGATGTTTAATCAAGCATTTTTTTTACTCTTCTTTTTGTTTTTCTTCCCTTATCTTGAGAGACCAGATGAATGATTGCGATTCCAATCCAAACAGGGAACAACTCATGATTTTCCGTGCTCATTGGAAGAGATTGATGGTAATCACAGTGGGGAGGGGGAGAGGAGCCTCTGCATCAAGCCCTCTCACCGCGGATCCGGCGTGCGAGCTGGATGTCCTTGGGCATGATGGTGACGCGCTTGGCGTGAATGGCGCAGAGGTTGGTGTCCTCGAACAGCCCCACCAGGTAGGCCTCCGCCGCCTCCTGCAGCGCCGCCACGGCGGAGCTCTGGAACCTCAGATCGGTCTTGAAGTCCTGTGCGATCTCCCGCACGAGCCGCTGGAACGGCAGCTTGCGGATGAGCAGCTCCGTGCTCTTCTGGTACTTGCGGATCTCCCTGAGGGCGACGGTGCCGGGGCGGAAGCGGTGGGGCTTCTTCACGCCGCCGGTGGCCGGCGCCGACTTCCTCGCGGCCTTGGTGGCTAACTGCTTCCTCGGGGCCTTCCCTCCGGTGGATTTGCGGGCGGTCTGCTTGGTCCGTGCCATCGCTCCTCTCTATCTCTCTCCGGTGGACTCGCCGGGAATGTAGAGCTTCAGACGAAGATCGGTCTTCTGCGCCGCTCTCTCCGGAGAACTCGCCGGAGAAGTAGATTCACAGACGAAGGTCGATTTTCTACGCTATCATCGATGGTAGGAGGAGGTGTTTTTATAGGAGGGGAAGTGGGGGGGAAGAAGGTGGTGATTCCCCTTGTTTGAAGCTGGTCAGGAGGAAGGGCGATACGGATCGTCGGATGGAGATTATTGGACGGCTGATATTGTTTTTGGGGAAAACACGCGGATCGCAATCCACTAACCATCTGCCAATGTTATGCTCCCAAGACTCACGAGGTCACAAATTTACCCATAATACCCCCAGACTAGGGAAGGAAACAGAAAAGTCCCCAAAAAAGAATTATATTATTGTAAAAGTACGAATAAAAAAGAGATTTTTGAACCCATGAGAGTTGAAAATACGACTTTAAAATACTATTGAGAATACCCTTATTTAATAATTATATTTATATTAAAAAAGGTAAGGCCTATTAAAAATTAATGATTTATCAGGAAATTAAAGCAGAATATTCTATCAAGAAAATAAATATAATAATTAACTACGAATTAATAAGTGATCAATCTCTAGTCTTCACCATCAAGAAAGGCTGCACCTTTTCTAAGCCACCAGTGACTATATAAGATCACCATTCAATCAAGACTCAAATCAACAGAGCCTGCCAATTATATAATCATGATTGAGGAATTGAGTTGGTAGTGATTTATAGGGGCTGATAATGTTTGGGCCTAGTCTGGGCCCATCTTCACTGCCATTTTACCCACATTATAACAAAAAAAAAACATGAAAAAAATACATTATTTTCATATTCCTCTCACATTATGGTGTACATGTCATTTCAACTCATGTGAATATAAGAGAGCTTGGAAGTAGAGAGAGATAGAGATAGAGAGAAGGGTGAGACTGAGCCCAAGAGACTTCAAAGGAGTTGAGGACTTTGTGTTGAAAGACCAACAACAAGGGATGAAATTGGCAAATTCACATGGTATTTGGTATCGCATGATTTTGTGAGGCCCTGCATTCATAATTTGTTCAAAGTATCATTTTCAATAGCAAAATTGGACTAGAGGAGTTAATTGTCAAGCTAGACTAGAGTAGGTATCAAAGGGATCTTGTTGTTTGCACTAGTTTCTCACTTGCTAGTTTGGCAGCTACTAGATTTTCAGTTAATTTAAACTCCCATATTTCCAATTGAGCATAATAAAAAAAATCAAAAAATGAAGAATGCCACAAATCATTGATCTCACAAATATATTATTAATATTGTATTAATAATATTGTCTAATCAAATCCCTTGGGGTGCTTTATAATGATGTTTATAACCCATTTAATTAAAGCTTCAATTTCATGTTAGATTGCAATTAATTGACTTCTACAAGAGAATACTACATAAGAGACTCTTTACACATTCAAATGGGCATACTATATTATTTAAATTTATTATTATAATTAATAAAGTGAAGTTATAATGCATGTTTTGTCGAAGGTTGAATATATTTGTGAATCTTTAACACTTCTGTATATATGTACCGTATAGTCCTTGATTTTCTTCAGCAATTAGTGTGTATAATATCGTTGCTAGCCAATTTCAGTCTTCTCAAGGTTATGATGGTAATTTTTTCTATAGAAATCATGCTCCACTTGACCATAGACCTTGACCTTGCCATTAATTTCTAAAAGGAGCAAATAAAGGATTGGTTGACTAGACATAATGATGAGAAGGTTGACATTTTAGTGAGACTAACAATTTAATAATGGATTGACTCCCGATTCTTGTCATAAATGAGATATTTTGAATTGGCACATAAAATCATTCCCTTTCATACATGGATGACTAAATATGCTGACTCTTTTAGTGGGTTGACCAAAATATCATCTAAAATGGGCAGACTCATTTAAGAGAGATTTGACCTATTTGATGATTGGTTGACCCATTCACTAACATATCCTGACCTTTTTGATTTTGGGAAGTTGAGAATTTAAAATTAATGCAAGCAATTAACTTACTATAGGACCAATATGAGTGCAAAAATATTGATGGATCTAATATAATTAATTATTATTAAGATAAGACAATCGTATAAACAATAAATTGGTATTTTTCATATTTAAATTCATTTATAATTTTGAGATCATAATCCAAGACATGTTGAGTTCAATTCTTTATTAGTAATGTAAATTAGGGTTTATAATTTTTTTAAAACATTGTAACTACAATAGGAGTAGATTTTTTCAACATGTTGAAGAAAGTCTATAGAAATTAAATAAAAATAAAATTTAAAGTTGAGTATAATGTATTTTTAAAAATAATAATATGTAAAAACTAGTTATACACACCATTTACTATTAAAAAGTTCCTTTGAATAACCGATTTGATCTTATTCATAGATCATTAACTCTTCTGAAAAAATTAGAGAAAGCATAATCCCTTGTATCTCAGCTTCCTATTTTCACAAGGAAGATGGAGAGAGCAGAGAGAGAGAGAGAGAGAGAGAGAGAGAGAGAGAGAGAGAGAGAGTTATGGCGAGGCATGGGCCGGATTTTGAACCAACAAGGAAGAATTTGGGCCCAGATTGAGTCCACCAGGCCCATTAACACCTCCCATTTTTTGTAATTTATTAAATTGGTTTGACCGTCTTCCGACGGGTCCGACCGATCCCGAGTTGGGTCGGAATCGACCCGGCCGCTTCGGCCTCCCGCCCAGATCTCATTGACAGTAAAGGTCCTGCTAGGTTTCCAGGAAACCCTCGACCCCTGCGAGTCTCCTCTCCACGAGTCCGTCTAGGTGGGGGTGCACCTTCGCGGAGGAACGCGGGTAAGCCATTCTATTGCCCTTCGATCGAATCAGTGGTCCGTCTAACGACAATCTTGGTCATCTGTGCGGGTTCCCTAGATTTGTCTGCAGAAGTTTTCGTCTTTACCTTCTGACCGGTGGATCGGGATCCTTTTGTTTTGCAGGTGGATCGGGCGTATCTCTGTTTGTTGATTCGCCATGTCAGTGCAAATTTTCCCCCTTCCGTTGATGGTTACATTTGTTGCTATCGTTTTTATTTTTTGATAACTATTATGCGATTAGTTTCGTTTCCAGCGATGTTTTCCCATGAGTCAATCTCCGGTGTTTGTAATATGAGGAATTGGTGTTCTAGACGGCCTCATCGGAGTTAACCTGCTGGTTCCATGCCTATTAAGTCTTTGGTAAACAGATAGATGCCAATGCATGCACACGCAATGATCGGCCAGATCCCAATCTGTTTGAGAAATCTATGATTAGATTCAAGTAGTCTGAAGGTTAAAAAGCTAATGATCAATGTGGCACAGCAAAGGCAAGCAGACCGTGGAATAATCGCACTGAACGAGGAGTTGTTTGATTCCTTCTCTCATTTTCTACTTTGTCTGGAGGCAGCCCTTGTAGATTTCATCTTTCTCTTTCCTTCATTGGGTTTGGGACTTGCCAATCGCTCTAGTCCTAGCATTCGGAGATCAATTAAGTTCATATAACATGAGTATGATCATTTACGCCTCTCCACAAAGCGCTGTAATACTAGAGCCGCCATTTTAACGATTTGATGGCTGAAGCATATGATCCGTAAAATACATGTTTTCACGGAGAAATAACCCCAAATTGAAAGACAGAGGCTGTGGATCACTATTTTCTGTTGTCGCAGTGGTTAGTAATTGCCAGCGTGAGCGTGCTGACTATGATATCCATCTCTTGTATTCTGGATTTAATCTTAACTTGTTTGCTAATGTGACGTGGGGAATAAGATAAAATAAAACGCCTGTACTATATATATATAGAAGAAATCTTCAGGAATGTCAAATGAAAAGGGCTCAGACTTGTGGTGTTCATGGTGGGCTTTACACTAGACCAATTAATCGGAAAGGATATATGTATGTGATTGTTGTTTAAGAAATATTTGGTATGTATGCATAGGGTGGGAGGGTATTTAAAAGATTACTCCACATATTGCTTTATCAATTTTCTTTGGGATTACATCTTATTTCTCTTCTTTTGATGCCCAATATAGTGAGACCAGTTTACTTTCATCTATGGATCTTGCATGGTGTGAGCATTACTCTCTTTATTTCATCTCCCTTCTTCTCCTTTTCCAATGAATAGCATTTCCCCATAACATTAAACTGTTAGCCTCCAACATCTGGCTAAATTTCAGTTACTTTGAAAAATGGATCCAGTATTGCATGGAACATTTTATGCATAATTGACTTTGATTTCTTCTATTCCTTGGTGTATTGAGTGTTACAGTCTTCTGTGTTGTTCAACTTTTTGTATGACAAAATAATTTATTGTCACACAAACGACGTCACTTTGAATCACAAAAAGAATAACATCAGAAATGAGCATTGTTATTGTTTAAAAATTCTTGGTCACTAGAGAAACGATGAGTTATGGAGAACATTGAAAAAAGACTTGAAGTCAACCTTCTTTCTTATATGGTTTGTGTGATTTCCGTCTAGCACTTCTGAAGAAATGCAAAAAGCAGTTGGAGAATATTTGACGGGGTTTGGGTTCGTCATAGAATTTTCTTTGACTTCAGTTGATGAGCCTTATTGCCATTGGAATGCTGGTTCAGCCTTCTGAAGTGGCGACAGATTGCAGTGGCCCAAGATGGATTGCTGACCTTCTGGAGATCGCATTAATACCCATGAAAATTGGATGTGAAACTTTATTTCTTGGTATTGTGGGTTGTTTGCAATAAACTGCAGAATTCAGATATGTGAAGATGGTTCAGCCATAGGATCGAGAACCTCCGACCTGTTTTGTGAAGGAGCTCATGTTGAGGGATTATACAAAAGACTGTGTTTAACTTCAGATATGTGGTTGGAGAATCAGATCTGTGATTCCGAGTTGGTGCCCAATCGGGCTAACTTAGCCTGGCACATATGACTTAAGTTCATCAAGTGTGAGAAATGGTTGACACTTGAGTTGACTTGGGCGCATCAAGTGTATGCATGATCTGCTCGTTGACCACTAGTCTGCTCATGATTTCTTTCCATTTCTCTTGCTTCTCTTGGATTCCCTTTTGTCATTTCATGATCACCCATGTGTAATGTATGGATGATGGCGTCTTCAGGGCAGATGAGGAGGTTGTCGATCCGAAGCAGTATCTCGAAGAAAGATGCAAACCCAAGTGTGTTAAATCATGGATAGAATATGGGGTATGCTCTGGATTGCTTCTCAGAACTCTTCCTGCTCAGTCGCCGCCATTTTCTCTTCTATCCTTTTAAGAATATTTATACTGTAATATCTCTCTTTTTTTCCATATTGGGATTATCTTACCTAGAGAGATGTTTTCCTTAGAAATGCGTTGACCGGGTCAAGGAGGACGAGACCGGGCACAAACACTGCACTGGGCAGTACTTTGATTACTGGTCGTGCATTGACAAATGTGTAAGTAATAACCCATTGTAATAAAAATTAAAATTATTGTTTTATTTTATTTTCTCATTATGAAAAATCTGATATTTCCGCTGGCAAATGGGTCTGAATCGCAGGTGGCCCAGAAGCTCTTTGAGAAGCTGAAGTGACGGCTTGCGAGGTCCTCTCCGCTGGTGAGTCCTGTTGCATCTATTCATCCTTTTGACTATTGGAGTTCTTTTATCCTGAGGAAGGGGGTTTGCTAATGGGCCAGGCCAGTCTTAGTGGGCCGGGTTAGCCGTTTATTATGGTCCAGTGCTGTTCAAAGCAGGCCAGGCTTGGTCAAACCCCACTTGAGACCCACCCTCGGTGATGTGTAGTCTTCTTGGATTTGGAAGGGTTATTTGACTTTAGATCCCCACGAGTCATTTGTCTTGTGGAGAAGGCCCCTCTTTTTTTACTTCAATGCCTTGGCTTCCTAAGAATCATCTCTCTCTCTCTCTCTCTCTCTCCTGTCTAGGAGCAGATTTAACTAGTCAAGAAAGGTAGGGTCTTTTTTATAATTTGAGAGGAGGGGGGGGGGTGGGGTCTGAGACCCACATGATGAATTCTGTCGGTTGCTATTTTGGGATATATTGCCCGGTGAAGCTATGGTTGGCAGTGATGAGCTTCCTTCCATTTTTGTTATGTTCTTCTTCTTCTTCATTGTCCCACTTTGCTGAATACTGGATGTTGGACCATGCCAGGACTTACTAGATTCAATTAATATCATTGTTGTCATTTTTGGTTGTTGCAGGCAGTTGCTCCCCTCTGTGTTTTGGAGAACCATGTTTGTTTGCTAGAGAGAGAGAGAGAGAGAGAGAGAGAGAGCCATTCTTGAAACTCACTCCAGAACATTGTCGCAGTGAGAAATAATTGTAAATCTGTTCCGCAGGAACAACTCTTTTCGGAGCTCTCTCTCTCCCTCTCTACTTTCCTTACGCCCGGCGTTGCAGGCTCAGAAGCCCATGAAGCGTGTACGGCGCCAACTTCTTCCACATGGCGCCACTTTACGCTGCCACATGGCGGGAGCAATGACAGCTCCTCTGGGCCTGAGCTAGTGCCTCGGCTATTTTATTCTCCTCTAGTAATCTTTTTTTTACATCTATTGGACCCGATCGATTCCGGCCCGCCGTAGGTGACGTGGCATTCATGACACGTGGCGCTCCCTGCTGCGTCCAAAGTGCACAGAACCTCAGTGGAGAATCCAAATCCCCGGGCGGCGTATTATTTTAACTAAAAGTTGGAACACCTCTCGACGACCGCCATCTGACGTGTCGGTACTCCTGACCAATAGGTCGACGACACGTCGCAATGGTATTTCTATGCTCTCCTTATTTTTTTAGGAAAATATAAACCGCATGAAAATAAATTTATTTTGGAGGATATCATCCACCTGACTCGATGCGCACGTGGCAGCCCCACGTAGCTCCACGATGGATATGGACCGGGAAACTGTGCTAGTTTATAAATATAGTGGAAGGTGCACTATTTTCCTATATTAAAATTTAGATATATATATATATATATACATACATATTTATTTATTTTAAAATGGAGTACTCAGCAGCTGATAGAGGAAGCCGCCATGAAATATCCCTGAGTGAGCCTCCGTTTTTCCTCGAA